ATTTTCCTGTTGGTTTTCAAAAATTAAATGATATGTTATTTACCTGAACAAATATTCTTATTATATCCAGTTTATTTAGTTTATAATAGCCTTTAAATCTTGAAAGAAAAATATCTTAAATACCCAACTCTAAAAGAAAAAAGTACAAAAAATACACCTCAATTATTCCAAAGACAGATTTAAAATTTTCAGAACTCAGAAAGCTCAAGGTAGGATGCACATCAGTTTAATTATTTACTTTTAGGTGGTCTGTTGACCAGAGAGTATGATTTTATGTTTTAAGCAGCAACGTTCAATTTTTTCCTTAAATATCTTCTAAAGAACCTTTCCACTGCTTTAAGGAATATGCATCTTCGTTTTCTAGGGCAACCTAAACTCACTGTAATCTCAAATGTCCAAATCTGTTCATTTTGTAAGTTCTGAATATGTTTTTGAATGCTTCAAAAATTTAACCAGCATCATTTAGGTTAATCTTGAGAATTGCTGCAAATTGGAAGGGGAAAGCTGGAAGAAAAGGATTAAATCTTCATGACTTTTTTTCTCTGTGAGGTGCATTTAAACAACTCTTCCATCTTGAAAATGTTCTACCAGTTTAGAAAACGTTTCTGACCAGCGTCTGTAAGTACTCACTGGCAATTTAGTGTAGATGGATGGCTGCTTTTAACTACCCTCATGCTCAGCTGTACTTCAAGAAGAGCCTATGATGTAGGTACGTGACACCTGTTGTGATTCCAACAGTGAAATATCTAAATTGTTTCTTCCACTGTTGCTTTGTTGATAGAGCTCAGTTAGCAGAGAAAACCACTACTGAACGTGAAAATAGCACATTGACATGGGCCAGATACCAGTGTAGCCAGTGTTGTGTTCCCCAAAGCTTCCATAGCAATAAGTGAAGAAAATGTATGAACTCAAAATGCTCCATGGAAGTCATACTTCGAATTAAAACATATAAAACCAAATTTCATATTAATGATTTGAGTCTACATAATGATTAGCATCTGCATTGACTATTTTAAAGCTTCTGTAGATATGCCTGCACAAGATGTGTTGAGACATTGAGACACGACTGCAGACTTATTCATGCAGTGTGAATCCTTCTATCAGTCTTTTATGATGCTGACAGTAGGAAGACAAGATGGAGGTGCAGGTGTGTTTACTTCATGCAAAGAAATAGGATGCTGTGTAGGCAACCCTCAGTCACACTATGAGTTTTTCTTTGGGTGCCCCCAAAAATTACATCCTCAACTTTCACTGACTTTTTGGAAGTGTTTGGCTTCTTATTGTGGGAGACATATCAGAAAATCTCACCTGCTGTGGGGCTGTTCCTAACTCTGTGTTTTTGCTGTCATTTCACATAAATGAAAGCTGTTGATATTTGAACGTACACTTATTAGGAATGTCTTAATTCAGTTTCAAAGCAGTCCAGATACTGTCTGTAATTTCACGGGGCACAGCTCAGCCACATTAGAAATCTGTACACAACAGCATCATATTTCTGTAGAAAAACTAGAAAGTGGAACATGAAATGGCTCTTCCTGTCCGTAAAAATGTTATGCTCAGATTAAATGCATCATCAGCCATTCAACCATATGATTGCTTGTTAGACATGCCATTTTATGCAAGTCTTGACACTTAAGAGAAATGTCATCTTAGTCCATGGCCATCATTGTGCGTAATTGGTATCTTTTAAGAAACTACCTGATTGGCAGTCTCGTTTGAGCACTTAGGTGACTAAATGCCGTCATGGTTCCTACGGGAACTTTTTGGACCAAAACCGAATGCCAGTTTTCAAATTTCTTGGCCATACGGTTCTACAGAGGGCTTATAATTTAAGACTTTACACTAATAATTCCAATGTGATTCTGCATGGCTTTTCCTTAAAATGCAAGTATACAGGAGTATACAAAGTATCTGTTTCTATAATATTTATTTTGAAACGTTTTTTTTAAAAAAGAAGAGCTAGAAACTTGGTCATTTATGCTGATAGCACTAAAATCCAATTTAACATCTACATCATCTTCTAGTAACAGTCCTTTGTATTATGATTCTAGTTCCCAGTCAGTGGACCCCATCACATTCTATGGCACTAACTCATGAAATAGAATTACTTTTGTTAGTCTATTTTTCACTTGTTGCGTCTTACAACAGCAATAGCTATTGCCTAAGTGAAGACTGATAGTAGAAGCTTTGTCTGCAGTCTAATGCCAGGATACAAAGACATTACCAGTCCTGATCCAATTCAGATAAGTGTATCACACATTTCCAATTGCAGCATGTTCTAAGATGAATCTGTACTTTTTTAGTGTTGCTGATCAGAGTTCCAGTCCCACAGACCTTAACTAACTTGAAAGATCTTACATTTCGGTCTCATTGAAGATTACTCATTAAGGTTCTCAGTCTTGCCCTAGATTATTAAAATCAGAAGTCAATACCAAGCTTTCACTTTCTTTCAGTTTGAAATTAGACATCCTTCAGCCTCCAGTTTAGCAGCTTTTACACACATGAGTAATGCTGTTTCATTCGTATGTTTGTCATGGATATCCACAGCTACACCACTTGCGGGAGCCTTAGCAGGAATTTGAAATTGTCTCTATCCCAAATGGCTCTCAAGGCACCTAGAGGTTTAAAGTGTTCAGCCTCAGGAGGAACGGCCAATTCAGTTCAGTGACAAAAATGGGAGCTGAGCTCTTTTGAAAAGCTGCTCCCAAGGGTTGTTGGACAGAGCCCTTTATGTCTTGGTTTATACATTAATTCTGCTTTCAGCTGCAAGGTTTTACAATACAAATTAAGTGAAGTCTTATTTCAGAATTAAAATATGATATGGAAATCTTTCAAAACCAAAGCTGTCTGAAGATCATGGGATTTGGGGGTTATTTCAAAGGCATAATACTGTCAAATTTATAAAAGTCATGCGTTCCCAATGGATATGCCGAGACCATTTTTCCTCGGTTCATTTTTTTGTTGCATTTTTTATGACATGCGTGTTAGCAATCTTCAGTTTATGACCTTGACATTTGCTTATTTTTCTTTTGAAGGTCTTTATAAATCAACGAGAGATTTTGTTTAAATCATTATAAATAAACCAACCAGAGAACAAGTTGTTGAAATGGACAGCAGCAATTTTCTACGTCCCTATTTGTGCGTAATAAACCGTACAAAGATAGTGAAACATTAGCACGGCAGAGAAAATGCAGCCATATCTGTGTTTGACAAAATAACAGTACGTTCATAATGCTGTTGGCTTCTTAATTTCAAAAGGCAGATTTTAATATCACTGGCTTCAGAGAAAGATAAGAAGGGCAGTGCATAAGACGTTATCAGTCTAGTGTGGAAATAATGCATTCAAAATTAAAGACAGCAGTTTAATTAAGTGCATGAAAGGCTGGCTTTTATGATCATATTTCAAATACTCGAATGTCTTTTCATCCATTCTGCCATATGACTTTACTTAATAATATATCGAGAACAAAAAATGTATTGGAGTCTTTCTGCAAATTCAATTAGTCCAATAAAAAGTGAAAAATAGTTTCTTTTTCATTAAAAAGAACTCAGCCCTAACCCTTCTGATGACAAAGTGCAAGATGAGGATGGGGAGGGGGAAGCTAAAGAACTATGAAGATTCTGCCTTTGTCATGCATTTATGTGTGCATGAAACAGATGAAGTGTCACCATTAATAACATTTGTTATTGAAAGGACTAATTGCATTCTGATACAGTCAGTAGTTTATCAGATACAGACCACAGGGTATTTACTTCTCCCTTAGGATGCACTCACAGTGCAGCAATAATTCCATAGTTTATTGGGCTGCTATAGGCAGGGTAATTATGCTAAAGTGTACCTCTTTCAGTGCTGAACTTAAAATTACCATGACACATTGCACTACGGCTTTACAGGTTAAGTGCAGCCTCTTGAATCCACCTGCTACGAGTTTATAGCTAAGGGAAGTGCAGAGATCGTAGAACTTGGTACTAAACCAGAAAAACGAGCTACACAACCCACAAGTGCAGCATTTCAAATGAGAAACTGTGAAGTACGGTACAGCATGAAGGAAGTGATAAGCATTTAGAAAACTTCGAGACTGGTTAAAATGGGATGGCAAAGGGATCTGTAATAAGATATCGAGCTTTAGACTGAAAGCAGTAGGTTCAACCATGGCACACATCTGTAGTGAGTGAAAGTTATTACCACTTGTCAGCTCCTCTCTGACCTCTGTGAAATGAGGTGGTAGTCTCACTCCAGCTCCCAGCGGGCAGACGTCTCCGTTACGCACACTTCCAGCACCATGGCTGGTTTGTCAGGCACAGCCTTGGCGCAAAGGCTTGTTGTGGTGCCATGGTGGATAAACAACATCCTCACCTCTGAAGCTGGCTCCTTCAGGTCAGGGCTGAGGCGGGCTGGCAAATAATTCGAGAAAGCTTGAAACTCCACTGCTAACACAGGGTGGCTCTGGGTAAATAAAAGATCTCATTTTCCGGAGTTGCATGTTGACAGGTTTCACTTCTGCTGACATAACTAACTGTGGCCCTAAGGGTTGTTGGGATTGATCTGGTCCTGTTCTATTTTTGGGTACCCGCCATACACATTGATTCCTCTCTGCTGTCTGTCATTTTTCCCCTTACTTGTCTTGTTCTTGATTCTTTTAATACCATGCTATCTGACTAGGGGATGTTTCCTACTATGTTTCTCTCAGTATGTGTTGAGGAGCAGATTTTCTTCCAGGTACCTATTCATGTCCTAATCTCATTTTAACTTCAAAATATTCCTCTCCCAGAAGTTTCCTTAGAATAATTATCCATACTGTAGAGAATCAGACAGGTTGAAATTCTGAAAATACAGCAACGAGTTTACAATAATGACTCATCAGGTATTTAAAGCAATAATTTTCATATAACAGAGGTAAGAACTATAAAAATTATTTCTCCTTGCAAGCATGCAGGTACAAATAAGAGAAAATGTTTTTGGAAGTATGATTTAATTAATATTACCTTTTTTCATATAGGTAACCCTCCTGCTACAGGTACAGGAACTTTACACATCACCTTGGAGGATGTCAATGACAACGTCCCATCCCTTTATCCAACGCTGGCAAAAGTTTGTGATGATGCAAAAGATCTCAGGGTAGTGGTACTAGGAGCATCAGACAAAGACCTTCATCCCAACACAGATCCATTCAAATTTGAACTGAGTAAGCAATCTGGCCCAGAAAAATTGTGGAGAATCACCAAGCTTAACAGTAAGTCTATTACTTTTTTTTTCTTATGTATTTAGTCCTCCCGCCTTTGCATTTCAGTATACTCACCCTGAGGCTGCCCATTATGTGAACTCAGGAGCAGTTGTGCATGAAAGTCCTGCAGGATGGACCCATTGCTTCTGCTTTACACTGGGCTGGTTTTGCTCGGACAAGCTGCCTTGTGGGACATAGTAATAGTCTGTCTGCACTTTCTCTGAAATCTGAATTTTTTTCCTCTTGTTATTATGTTGACCAAATTTTTCTCTTTTAGCTTTGCATTAAAGAAAGGCTACTAATGACTTACAGTTTTGTAAAGATTGCCATACTTCATGGCGTGGAATTAGTTTGCAGGAGATGCACAAGTCTTTGCTATAGGACAGCATGAAACTTTTGCGTGGGCTTTAGCAATGTACGTGAAAAACTTCCTGATTTTAACTACTTGAACTCTTCACGAATAAAATGCTGAATGCCTGGGACTGTACTCCGTTGGTAAGAGGATCAAAGCACATGCTATGCAATTGCAGAAGGCTCATGAGGCAAATTGTGGGCACAAAGCACTAAATTTCTTTTTAATGCAGATTATTTCTACTTGTTTTCTAGGATGTGTTATTTATCTCTGTCACTATCAAATCTTTTAGCAGTTCATTTCATATGCTTAGAAAAAATAAAGATGGATGTGATGTCTGTACCTGCCTGCAGATTTTCATGGACAAAGTAGAGAAGTCATTTTCTTTGCTGTTCTCCAAACATCAAACCACCACTCTGTTAAACCCCTTAAAAGACTTAGCACACTCACCTGGATACCAACAGCTGTTATGACCCACTGTTGCTCAGGTGGAGCAGATCTGTGGATTTGAAGGGGCACTACTTCCCTTCACTGCCTTCTCAGTCAAACTGGGGGAGCAGTCAAGCAGCTTTGTGTGCACTTCCTTGCAGGAAGGGTTTTTTCCTTTGGTAAACAAATATATTCTTCCCTCTTGTGTTGCTTTGGGAATAACATGCCTTAGTATTTCATTGGTATATTAGTTTCTACAGGCAAATTCTGCCAATAATTCGGAGACCAAGTAATGTATTTAAACACAAAGGGCTCTTAAAAGCCTGTCTTTTGGTGGGATTTGGAGTAAGTTTGCAATTAGCTCTCAGTCCATGAAAGAATTTCTGTACTGCCTCTTCTTACCTCTAAAATTCAATTCTTTAGTCTTTCCTTCAGAGTGTTTTCATTTTCTTCTTAATTTCCATGAGTAGCTGTGGCATGTCTGATACTGTTTGCAGATTCCTCTTCCCTCCCAAACAGCTGCTGTTTGACTAATTCTCACCTTATCCTTTGCAGATACTCATGCCCAGGTCATCCTGCTTCAAAACCTGAAAAAGGCCAATTACAACATCCCAATCTCAGTGACAGATTCTGGAAAACCACCTCTGACTAACAACACAGAACTGAAATTACAAGTGTGCTCCTGCAAGAAATCCAAAATGGACTGCAGTGCAACTGATGCCCTTCATATCAGCATGACCCTTGTCCTTCTTTCACTCTTCAGTTTATTTTGTAAGTCTTTTCCTGAACTGTAAGTAGTGAAGTATTGTTTAGCTGCTCATTTGTGTGCTGCATAAGAAAATCTACCACGGGAGAAGTTAAATTCATACATTGATATCATCATGCAGTAAGTTTGGTTTGTGTGGTTTGGTTTTTTTTTTTTCCTGAGGAAGTAGCTAGAAGAAAGAGGGAGGGGAGCGTTTTTTCATAGTCAAAAAATAGCAACAAATGCCTGGTTGTCAAATTAAGAAATGGAAGCAATAATTTTAAGAAGAATCAAAGAGAATTAGAGCTAGCATATGATAAACTAAGAAGTACTAGCTGTAGTAGCACATTTGTGAGACGCTTGCTTTCATCTCTCCCGAGTTGAATTCATTTCAAAAACAGAAACAGGAGATTAAAGGTGTTCTTGTAACAATAGCTGTTCTGGGTCACCATGAAAATGAGTACTGTCCGCTTCAATCTATTTCTCTCTATAAAGTGCATGAGCAACTGGAACATGAGGAACTTATTCAAGATTTTGGGCTTAGGGCCACCCAGAAGAGAAAATCAAATTGCAAGTCTGGGTTGGAGGGCAGAGAGAACTGATATGTAAAGGAATCTTCTGAGAAAGCTTTCTAAAAGAGACTTAAAAAATTCCTAATTTGAATTGGAAGAAGTCAAAAAAAAAAAAAAATCCCAGAATGATTGAAGAGTAGGAAATTCAATGCCGTGGAGTCCCACCATCTAACCTAGATAAGTCCCTGACTTGTCCTGTTACAGCGTCAAGCAAATTTTTTAATGCAGTGTTACTCTGAGTTACTTATTTGTTAAAAAGGAATAGCTGTGTCCTATAACTATGATAGTTAATCTGTTATTCAAGGATTATTGCTGACATCTTATGTTAGTAAAATACATTGTACGGTGAATTAATACTTGAGCCGTGGTGAAAAGCCTTGTATTCTTGACAAGATAAAATCTACCATGAGGCAGGGACAGAGGTCAAGGCAGAGATAGTTTACACATCTGAGGCTTGGTGTATGCTCCATTACACGTCTTGTCAGGTTTTTTCTTACAGTATATTAATTTTGTCCCAAAAGGTTAGCGGGAAGGTCATTGTGAGACAATTAGAACTAGCTAATGCTTGTGATGCTCTTTGAAGAGGAAAAGGACTATATAAATGCTAAGTGCAAATTCACGTTCTTTGTTCCAATCGGTGGCATCTGAAGTATCTCCATTCAGTTATTCTGGGTTTAGTCTGCTGGAACCAAACGCGGACTTCAGCTGTTAGAAGTAATATGTTAAAGGTATTTAACAGTATGTGAACTATTGCATCAGAGATATAAATGTGCAGCCCATTGATCAAATGTATTCTTGTTACCACTTCATAAATGTTGCTGGTGCTATACTAGGTATGACTTTCTCCATTGGAAGTACTTTCTTATCTGATATGATTTGCACTTGAACTTTATTTACATTAATACATCTGCTCACAATACAAGGAGGTAGACAAAAGCTTTTTGCTTTTGAAAGTAATCATGTTGTAGAAGCCACCAAAGAAGTCTGATCATTTTCCTTACATTGAATTAAAAAAAAAGCAGTTCCAGGTATTGTAAACCTCTCCTTGAGTTGCTCTACTTGACTACAGATTTTCTCCAGCTTAACTGTGAGCAGAATATAAGCCCCTGAATGGTGTGTGGTGCTCTGAGTGACAGAGGGATTCCCTCTCCTACCACAGAAGAATAAATGGCACTGAACAGTCTTTACACTGTGAAACAATACATGTCTAGAGCCTTTCTGCAACCTCATGTTTGTTCAGAGTACTGTAATAGGAATGGAGATAATTGTAATTTTAAACAGAGTGGAGTAAGATTACGCACGCAATCTGCCAGCCGTGTGATGTTCCAGTCTGTTGTCTGAGCAATAAATAAAACACAGGGAAATAGTGGGTGAGCTGAAAGGAAGGAGAAGGAAAGATCTCCCTCTTGGGACAGAGGCTGTTTTATGCACAGTTGTGACTGAGAGCATGAATTCCACAAATAGACTTCAGCATAGAGAAACCTAATCCTCAACACAGGGCTTTTTGCTAAAATTTGCTACCGTTCAGTTGTGTGGTTTGGGTTCTCCCAGTCCCAAAGAGGAAGGCTGATATTCCATGTCTGGTACAGTTACCTGATCGTGCTTATGCAAAGCCAGCAAGCGAAACAACTTTCATAACCGTTTTCCTCAGGTGTAAATGACTACATGGAGACATAAAAGAATGAGGCCAGGAGCCAGTTAAAATAATGTGGTTCTGTATTTGAACTTCTCTAAAATGTGCTGGTATCATTGCATTCCCAATTCATATTCACACATAGTTTTTTATAACTGCGATTAGTTCCATTGCCATGTTTTGTATAGTCCAAATATTTATCAGAGTAATCAAAGATTACGATGCCATAAAAACAGAAGTTTAGTGCGTATTGAACAGATGAAATATCCCATTTCTAGTGGCAAGTTATGAGTTTAATTTTTGCAAAAGCCCTTGCGTGGCTCACTTTGCTCCCAATGTTTATGTTTTATGAGGCTCTTGTTCCTAGGAGGTAAATCCTTCAGTCAAATGAACTTTGTTACACATGCCAAAGTATTTCTTTTTGTATTTGACATCTGGCGTGAGGATGGATAGCCTTATGAAAGAGCTGTTCATGGTAAAAACGCCCTGCATGAATCTCCTCCCCGCACGAAACATCTTGGTATTATCATTTAAATGCTGCAATTATTATCTATACTTAGAATATGTGCCTCCTTTGTAAATCATGGAAGAAGTCCTATGTGGTAGATTTCTGAAGTGTCTGAGCACAGAACTGAAGAGCCTGATTAAAACTGTAATGCATGCAAAAAGCAGCAGATTTGCCTATTCTGTAGCTGCCCTACTGTGTTCAGTATATTGAGGGATAATGGGATACAGACTGCAGAGTTGCCCAGAAGCCCTTGGAAAGGTAGATGTACTTGGAACAAGAATACTTTAGGAGTTCTTTGTCGGCCAGGAATAGAAAATATAAAATGTAAAGTGTATGGGCAGAGTGTTGGTTTTCCACAACAAAACAGTAAGGTGTTTGATGGAATTAAATGACGGTGGATACAGTGTTGATTGAAAAAAGGAGTATCTTTGCTTATTTTGAACTTAACCTAACTAATTACCACTGGGAATTGCTGAAGTCAAGCTGGAAAGATGTGTAGTGGACAGGTAGAGGACCCTCCAAAGTTATAATAGTTAATGCTAACAAGTATGGGAAAGAATATAAAGTCTTATCTGTCATTAATGCAGACACCATGTTTAAGATGAGATCTACTGCAGTGGCATATTGTCCTCTGTCAGCTTTTTCTAGCCACTGCTGGAGACCAGATAGGACCAAAATGTTCAGAAATAATTTAGAATACAGTAATTCATATTGAGGAAAAAGAACAGGTCAAAAAATAGATCTGTGTTCCTAGTAAGGAACTGCAGAAATCAGTTACTTGAGGAAGAGAAGAAGTGGGAGAAAGACAAAGTGTGTTATGCAGCATGTCTGGTGGTGGGTGTGAGATTGTCCATGTTGTCCCTTACTGCTGTAGTGTCTCGGTCACCTCAGGTTTTCAACTGACACAGCTGAAATAACTCTGTTCAGAATGAATGTAACCAGTGATGTGCTCAACAACATTAAAACTATAAACAACTTCCCTCTGGAAGGGTCCTGAACATTTTTAGTAAGAGATTATCTAAAAATTGATTGCTGATATTTAGTTATTGGTTTAACAATACCTAAAAGCAAGAACCAGTACCTAAAAAGGAGAATAGCTGTCCTTGAAAATTCTGCTTGAGTATCACCAATTTCACAACAAATCACTGTAAATATATGTTTAACAAACATTTAACACCAATCTCTTCTCAAGATATATTGAGATCAGTAAAGTTGTTCTTTTTGTCCACCGTCAACGACATGGCAGTTTCTGGGCCATAAAGATGATCCAGGGGCTGGAGCACCTCTGCTACGAGGACAGGTTGCGGGAGCTAGGATTGTTCAGCCTTGAAAAGAGAAGACTTCGGGGGGACCTAATAGCTGCCTTCCAATACCTGAAGGGAACTTACAGGAAGGCTGGGGAGGGACTTTTTACAAGAGTGTCCACGGATAGGACAAAGGGAAATGGGTTTAAGTTGAAGGAGAACAGATTTAGATTAGATTTTAGGAAGAAATTCTTCAGTACGAGGGTGGTGAGGCTTCGGAATAAATTGCCCAGAGAGGTTGTGGATGCCCCCTCCCTGGAGGTGTTCAAGGCCAGGTTGGACGGAGCCTTGAGTAGCCTGATCTAGTTGAGAGGCGTCCCTGCCCGTGGCAGGGTGGTTGGATTAGATGATCTCTGAGCCCCCTCCCAGCCTATGCCATTCTATGATTCTGTAAGAGACTTGGTCAGAACAAGCCAAATCAAAGGCACATGTCAAAGAACTTTTAGGAATCAGGTTACATGCAGGTGACTGAGAAAACAAAACCAGCTAAAAAAGTAAAATATAAATATAAAACAAATTTGTGTATATTGTCATAATGAAGTTGGCAACAGAAACTGCCCCAGGCCCTGTGGGACACCGAGAAAGAACTACTCTAGCTGGTAGAAATAGGCTTTATATCAATTACAAGTTACTTACTTATAGTATTATTATTTAAAGGAGTATTTGAATTCTGGACTTTTGATTTGACAGGAATTACTTCACTTAATTGCATAATCATAAAATGATAATTGCATTTCATATTTCCTTTTATATTGTACCAACATAAAAGACCAAGATAGATTCAAATGTGTTGAATCAAAGAACTAAAAGAATCACCAAAAGCACAATAGTCATGTCCTGAACAAGCAGAATTCAGAGCAATTCCATTAGTAGCTCAGTTACATTAGCAATAATATTATACTTAAATTTCCTTGTTAGAAAAAGAATGGACTTTAAACACGTCATGCTGGAAGAAAAAAATACATTGATATCTTACTTGACTGTCAAACATTGTTAAGAAATTTTTTTT